TGACCTTTTTTTATTTTTTTAGGATTGAAGATTTGTTAGGATTTTGACCGGCGCAACAGATTAGGCTCCCAAAACGGACTTTGGACATGCCTGTTCCAAGGCCTTGGACATGATGTTCAGTGCTTTCTGAGGCACCAGAGATTGTGTTGAGGGCCCCACAGTGTGCCCCTGGCCTCTGGCCTCTTCAGCGGCCTCAGCTTTTGTAGCTGGAGTCAGTCAGGGCCACCACTGAGAGTTGAACCAGAGTTGAACATCCAGAGCAGCTGTTCTAGTACCACAGAGCCACAACCCCTTGCCCCCTGGCAGGCTGGGCGTGGGATTTGCTTTTCAGGCTTGGCCTACAGACAGTTACCAATGCAAGGCTACCAGAAGAAGTGAAAGCTGCTAGCCACAGAGGCCAGAGGGGTTTGGAAATGTGGAGGAAATGAAGACATCTGACTGAAATTAGCACTTTTTGAAGTGCAGCCTCATGTAAGAGGCAGGTAGGCAGCTGTCAGAACAGAATTCCACTGAGTGGCTTAATTAGTCTTTTATGCTGTTTAACGTTTTGAAAGATTACTTGCCCGAAGTTATAAATTTAGTTATTAAAGACTCATTATTCATTAGCAATGTGGCATATGGGACAAATAGAAGGGATAGGAAGCGTTACGCACAGATCATGTTTTTACCCCTAGGTTGCTACACCCAGAGAGCTTGCAATGTGTTTACCTTTAGATACCTGCATTTAAGGGATGGCTAGATGCAATTAATTAGAGATAAGTGAGAATCTCCAATAGAGTTGGCAAAACAAGAAACAAAAAACCTAGCCTTATCTAGCATCTTGCCTGCTTGTGTTCAAGTTTCCCATTCCAATAACTGGGTGAGCTGCTGTGATGTCATGGAATGTTCAGGAACATTCTGGGGTGAAAGCTTCAGCCACATAAAATGCCAGCAAACAAGCCAGCTTCTGTGCTGGGTGGGGAGAAATTTCTCATGTGACTTAGGGATGACAGACAGAGGAAGGCAAGGGGATGCTGGAAGGCAGAGGATGATGGAAAGAGAACCCGGGGTGGGGCCAGGTAAGGGTGTTAAAGGATGTGTGGGGGTTAGGTGGGGGTTCAGCAACTGGGATCTGGGCACCCACCTTATTCCTGCCATGCCCTTCTGAAAAATCCAATGGGCATTTTACCTAATCAGAAACCACAAGTTGCCTTGGAATTTCACTCCAGGAAAAAATTCGCTGCAACTCTTAACATTTCCGGATTCTGAGTTTAAAAATGGACTTGGGCTACATATACACAACTCTTTATTCCAGAATCAATGAAAAGAGAGGATTTGAAAAAAGCCCTGTTCCCACATGACACCCCGTAAGTTTAGCTTGCTGCTCTCTAATGGGGTGCAGAATGCATCTCCATCCTCCGCTACAGTTAAGTAGGATCCCATCGCCAATGCAAGTGGCTTCTGAACATGGAACTACAGGAGAGGGGGAATCCTGTCCGCATCAAGCAGCAAAATGTATTGAGCCAGTCCTGGTGAATTGGGATCTCCATAACCCAGGGGAAATTTAGATTAGAAGGCCATGAAAAGCACCTCGGTCAGTTGTTTTCTGCAAGAGGGGCTTCTTGACTGAAACAGGCTTCTTCTTCCTATCAGTGTTCTCCCACAATGCGCAACCAGCGCATGTGTGTCCATTGTGCTGCATTCTCACAGAACCCACAAACTTCCTAAAGCACATACAGTTTTCCTCAAAAGCTGAAGTCTGCAAAGTCTCTTGACAACTTTTTTTTGAAATAAAATAAAATAACTCTGTGCTGCAGCTGTGGCAGGGAGGGAAATCCCTTGAAATATTTCCTCCCCAGTCTGATTGGAAACAGACTTTTAGATTCTCCTGGGGTCCAACTTAAATGTAGATTTAAAGTGGGAGGGGGAGGAATAACTCTTTCCATTTCTTGAAGAATGAGTTCCCGACTTCTCCGTGCAACTTTGACAGGCTACCATCTACACTTGACAAGGCTTGTCATCGTCAGGATTTTAATAGAGGAAACACCCCCACCCCCTCCCTTTCGGTCCCATATTAGGCTGAAACACATCGCCTTGTTTAGACTAGATCCAGGTTGGTTCGACTCCCTGGGAAAAAAGGCCGGCTTTCACTTCCTGGCACCATTGGACAAGTTGCAAATCATAAGCCGCCCTAATTACCCAGCGCTGGATTCCATAGCATGCCAAAGTAGGGGGTCATACGCCGGAGAAAGGGGAGGACTGGAATTTGAGCAGTATTGAAATATTGGACAGATGGTAGGATTAATGCTATAGCACACCAGCCCTTTACTTGCTACTTTCTGGTAGATCTGAACGTGTGCGTGCACACACTTTTCAAGAATGATTGTTATTCCTGTAGATGCCCGATAGACCTCTGGATAATGAAAAGAACTGAATAATTTGCAAAAAAAACCTATTGCATCCATAAAAGGATGTAAGAACACACTTATTAAGGTCTTCTGATTTGGGGGGGGGGCATTCAAATTGCCTTGAAACGCAAACTGGTTGATTCAAACACTAGGGGTTCGTCCTAGGTATTGATCATTTGGACTCCCCAGGGCAAACAGAGGAGCTGCCTTAAACTGAGGCTGACCTCTAGTTCATATTGTATTTTTATTTATTTACTGGGTTTTATAACGTGCGCTGCTCTGTTTCGCCAGAAGCAGCTTAGTCATGAAGAAGATTCCACCTAAACATTAGGAAGAACTTCCTGACAGTAAGAGCTGTTCGACAGTGGAATTTGCTGCCAAGGAGTGTGGTGGAGTCTCCTTCTTTGGAGGTCTTTAAGCAGAGGCTTGACAACCATATGTCAGGAGTGCTCTGGTGGTGTTTTTTGCTTGGCAGGGGGTTGGACTCGATGGCCCTTGTGGTCTCTTCCAACTCTATGATTCTATGATTCTATGAATCAGAAGGTCGGCAGTTCGAATCCCCGCGACGGGGTGAGCTCCCGTTGCTCCTGCCAACCCAGCAGTTCAAAAGCACGTCAAAGTGCAAGTAGATAAATAGGTACTGCTCCTGTGGGAAGGTAAACAGCGTATCCATGAGCTGCTCTGGTTCGCCAGAAGCTGCTTAGTCATGCTGACCACATGACGCGGAAGCTGTCTGCCGGCTCCCTTGGCCAGTAAAGCGAGATGAGGGCCACAACCCCAGAGTCGGTCACAACTGGACCTAATGGTCAGGGGTCCCTTTACCTTTACCTTTTATAAACAAGAATAACATTACACGAATAAGTATAGCAAGTTTTCTCATGTCATATGTGTATCACAAAAATAGCACAATAAATGTGGGAAAAAATCTGCAACGTATGTTTTATTATTAGCGGTCAATGCATACGCTCTTGGTTTATGAATTGGTTTAAAGAATTAGGAAGAAGAAGAAGAGAGAAAAGAGGGGGAGGGAGGATTGGTGAGTGGGGTGGGGTTAGGTGGTTATGCTTCTATTATTCTACTTAGTGAGTGTGAGGGGTTGTGTCAGCGTTACTTGTACGGATTCTCTTACTATTCACTTTTTGTATTTCCTTGGAGATGAGAGAGGGTGTGGTTGGTTGTCTTTGGTGGACTGTAGTGAGAATTGTTTTTGTGTGTGAGTGGGGTGTGAGTGTGTATTTTTGAATCAGGTTAGCCAGATTGATTTGTACGCTGTCGGGAGATTCTTGTTGTTGTCTTGTTGGGCTGTGTATGTGATAAAGGGGAGCCATACCGGGGTGAAGACATCTTCTTCTATTTGTCCCCATGTCAGTTTCAGTTTATTGGTTTTGTTGCTGTTTTGTCGTTTAGTTGTGTCTGACTCTTCGTGACCCCATGGACCAGAGCATGCCAGGCACTCCTGTCTTCCACTGCCTCCCACAGTTTGGTCAGACTCATGCTGGTAGCTTCGAGAACACTGTCCAACCATCTCGTCCTCTGTCGTCCCCTTCTCCTTGTGCCCTCCATCTTTCCCAACATCAGGGTCTTTTCCAGGGAGTCTTCTCTTCTCATGAGGTGGCCAAAGTCTTGGAGCCTCAGTTTCAGGATCTGTCCTTCCAGTGAGCACTCAGGGCTGATTTCCTTCAGAATGGATCGGTGTGATCTTCTTGCAGTCCATGGGACTCTCGAGAGTCTCCTCCAGCACCATAATTCAAAAGCATAAATGCTTTGGCGATCAGCCTTCTTTATGGTCCAGCTTTCACTTCCATACATCACTACTGGGAAAACCATAGCTTTAACAATATGGACCTTTGTCGGCAAGGTGATGTCTCTGCTTTTATTAGCTTTTCTAATAGGGCTGCTTCCCATACTATTTGATACCATTGGTCCATGCTTCCTTCTAACAGTTCTCTCCAATGTTCGGCTACGATGCTTCTGGCTGCTGAGAGTAGTTGGGTTATGAGCTCTTTATGATGTGAATGGGCATTATTATCTTGGAAGATGTTTAGTAGGGCCAGTTCTGGGGTGACTTCTAATACATATTTCTTGCATGAGTGATGTCCACAAGAGTTGGACCATATTATATTGTGACTACACAGAGTGGCAATGGCTCTGTATGGTCCCTCGTACCTACAGGACCGCCTCTCCTGGTATGCCCCACAGAGAAACTTACGGTCTTCAAATAAAAACATCTTGGAGGTCCCTGGCCACAGGGAGGTTAGGCTTGCCTCAACCAGAGCCAGGGCTTTTTCGGCCGTGGCCCCGATCTGGTGGAACGCTCTGTCACAAAAGACTAGGGCCCTGCGGGACCTGACATCTTTCCGCAGGGCCTGCAAGACAGAGCTGTTCCACCAGGCCTTTGGCCAAGGCATAGTCTGACCCCCTCCTTTGGTAATCCTCATAGAACTCTAGCCCAATGGTTGCCATTAATTTGATTTTGAATTGATTTTAGAATGAATTGATTTTAGAAATAGATTGTGATTTTAGGTAAACTCTGTTACTTTTACTGTTAGCCGCTCTGAGCCCGACTTTGGCTAGGGAGGGCGGGATACAAATTATTATTAGTAGTATTATTATTATTCCTACCTGGGGATGCTACGCATTGAACCTGGGACCTTCTGCGCACAGGCAAATGCTCTACCACTGAGCTATGGCCCTTCCTCAATATATGGTTCCCTTGATGTCATGGACTGGGTGGACACAGAAGAATGGTGAGAGGCACCAGTTGAAGGACCCCCAAGGAAGAAGGCTCAAAAACCGGGATTGGTGGTAAGATGGCATTGTACTACCATATCCCACCATCGCTGACTGCTGCTCCTGCTGGCTACAGATGATGGAATTTGTAGTCCAACAACATCTGGAAACCCAAGTTTTTATATAGTTCTTATGTGAATGTAAATTTTAATATGGAAAAATCATTAATATATATATATATATATTAAAATAAAGTAGCCTCATCATCCATTTAAGTTGTTTTCAAAGCGTGTTTTACCCCCATCCCCACCCCTCTTTTGAGCGCGACACTGCACAGACTCTAAACATATTTATGGAGTATCGTTGACTCAGCCTTGACTTATCAGTATTGTCACATTTCATGACATTTCATCTCTCAGTGTAGCGTGGGAGGTGGGAAAGTCACCCCTGACCCAAGAGTGCAAGTAGACCCCGGTGGCATTCCTGTGTTTTTGAAATCGCAAGATAAAGATTTGGAGCTGTAAACCTCCTTATGATCAGAGACCCCAGAATGAGGTGGGGGTGTATGTGGGTTTTTTTTTTATCTCTGGGATATTAATCTTCCTGGCATCCCAAGAAAGACAAGCAAGAAGACAGCCTTCTTTAAGGGAGGGAAAGGTTAGGTCTTCTGAAGCTCAGAAGGCAAGGGGAGAGACCCAACCAATGTTGCAGCACTTAATTTACATGACTGTAAGGAAGCAGGGGCAAGAATCTAAAGCAGGACTGAGAAGAGCTGTAGCTTGGAGACTCGGAGCTGGCCTTGAGGCTGGATTACTGAAATTCACTCTCTTTGGGGCTGTCCTTGAGCCTGGTCCAGAAGCTCCATCTAACACAGAATGTGCCAGCTGGATTGCTGATGAGGACCGGTGGCCAATAGCATGCAAAACCTCTGTTTGAACATCTGCACAGACTGCCCATGTCCTACCACGCCGGGTTCAAGTTTCTGACATTTATGTACAAAGCCCTGCACAACTTGGATTCAGGATGCTTTAAGGACCTTCTACCCCAGTTTGATCATTGAGATAATTTGGAGGAGCACTGGTAATTGCCACCCACCTGGCTTCAACTATGCTGGTTCTATGCTGTGAAGCACTCTTCAGCAGGGATCAATGAGCATCCTTGCTGCTAACTTTCAGATACTGTACCTCTTGCAGACATACAGTAGAATTTTCTATAAGGCCTCAAAAGAGCCCTGCTGGATTTTGATTTTTACTTTATTTTACAGTCATACCTCGGGTTACAACCGTTTCAGGTTGTGTCTTTTCGGTTTGCGAACCGCCGAAACCCAGAAGTACCGGAATGGGTTACTTCCAGGTTTCGGCGGTCGCACATGCACAGAAGCGCTAAATCATGCTTTGCGCATGCGCAGAAGCACCGAATCGCAACCCGTGCGCGCACAGACGCGGGTTGCGAACACTGCGGGTTGCGAACGTGCATCCTGCACAGATCACGTTCACAGATCACGTTCATCATAAAATCTCAAGGAAGCTCACAGAATAAAATACAGGATTAAAAAAAAAACAAGTAAACAAGCAAAACAAAAGTGGAACATTTTTGCCTGGTGCCTAAAAATACATAATGAAGGAACCAAATGGACCTCCCTGGGGAGAATATTCCACAAACAGGGAGCCACTGCATAGAAGGCCCTTCTTGTGTTGCCACCCTACGGACCTCTTCTGGAGGAGGCACATGAACAGGGTCCTCAGATGATGAACAAAGTCCTAAATCTTCCATCATTCAGCTTCATTAGATGGTCCTGAGGTGTAGTACTATACAAGAGAGGAGAAAAAAATGTCTCCTTCTCCACTGTAGGGAGAACCACATGATGATGGTGAAGATGGTGATGATGAATATATTTATACACCGCCCATCTGGATGGGTTTCCCAGAATAATAAAAACACAATAAAACATCAACCATTAAAAACTTCCCTAAACAGGGCTGCCTTCAGATGTCTTCTAAAAATTAGGTAGTGTGCTGGAAACGCAGTCCAGGACTGGTCCAGAATCCGAAGGTCCCACTAGGAGTCAGTCCGACAGGGCCAAGGCAGGACACGAGGCAGAAAACCAGGCAAGGACAGGTACAGGATCTCAGGCAGGACCTAGCATACAGCAATGTTGCTACCGCAACCTGTGGCGGGGTCCGAGAGCCTTTTATCTTTGTCGGGGTAGCGGCCAGATCCCCCAGTGACTCAGCTCCCTGTTTTGCCCAAAGGCGAGCACTCAGTTCTCTCCTTCTCTCTGACCTTAATCTCTGCAGCTCGGGAGACGTTGGTGGGTTACTAGACCCAGCGGCCGCCTCAGCCTCCCCTGACCAAACCAGTAGTGGAGCAGCTGTAAGTGATGGCCCAGCTCAAGGCAACGAGGTAATCCCCGCATCTGGAGCCAGGGCAGGTTCAGGCCCCTGACTCGGCCCAGCTGATATTTGTTGCAGGGGAACCTGTGCAGACTGGGACTCTTCAGGATCAGGCCCCAGACTTGGTTTAGATGATGCCTGAGGCAAATGATCTGGTGCAGACTGAGTCTCTTCTGGTTCTGAGTCTGAGCCCAAGTCCCAGGCCAACACAGGTAGTTGTTTATTTCCTTGACATCTGACGGGAGGGCGTTCAACAGAGCGGGCGCCACTACCGAGAAGGCTCTCTGCCTGATCCCCTGTAACTTCACTTCTCACAGGGAGGGAACCGCCAGAAGGCCCTCAGAGCTGGACCTCAGTGTCTGGGCAGAACGATGGGCGTGGAGACACTCCTTCAGGTATACTGGACCAAGGCCATTTAGGGCTTCAAAGGTCAGCACCAACACTTTGAATTGTGCTCGGAAAAGTAATGGGAGCCAATGTAGGTCTTTCAGGACTGGTGATATATGGTCTTGGTGGCCACTCCTGATTATGGAATCAGGGTGACACCATGAACGTAGCATACCGATGTATGCCACAACTTCAAAAGGTCATTGTGACACACTAGGAAGCTATTCTATGATGATGGGATGTGTTACCCGCAAAATGTGGCTAGATGGTGCTAGACCACAAGAGTGTGACAGCCCGGGAGTGCCGTCTTTATGGATGATCAAGGAAGCATCAAGGCTACATCTAAGGACATGCATAAATCAATTTGTAGGGCCAGACTTCAAAGCTCTTAGTCCTTTTTTGCACAACCCCAATTCCAAAATTCGTTAGAGTGAATAGATTGACTTAATGGAGGGAAAGGGTGGAGGGAGTGAGACTCCCTTTTGCTGGCAGCTGCAGAACATGACCTCAGCAGGCAGATGCAACTTGCCAGGAGTGAATAACTAAGAAAATTTAACTTGTCCAAAGCGTGTCCTTTTCCTTAGGCACCCAACTGAACTCAATATCTTGTTTCCACAGTGGAAACAAGAAAGTCAAAATTTTAGCTCTCAGAAATGAGAGAAATGCCATTTGAGGTCCAATGAAAAACCCTTATGTTTTAATCGGATTGTTTTCCTTTCATATGGTACGTTAGTGAATTCATTTGTTCATCCAATTCCTTTCCAAGCTTTTTCTTTTTTTCCCCCTTTCAGCATTTTGGTTATCATTTGTCCTTGTTTTAAAAGGTTCAGTGGGGAATTATATATATAAAAAAAAATCAGTTGTTCTCCAACCTGAAACCAGGGCACAATTTTGCAATCCGAAGTTGTAAACCATAGAAAGCATATGTATTTATTTATTTATAAAAGTACTCATATACCACTAAATCACAAAACATATCAAAGCAGATGACAACGTTAAAAATATAAAAACTGTACGATAAAAGCATTTTTAAAAATTTAGAAGAATTAAAGCAAAACAATTTAAAACAAACATTAATAAACCATTGTGGGTGATATATGCTTAACTGCCTGCATAGACCCAGTGGAATAGAACATTTTCAGCAGGCATGTAACAGCTGGCACAGAAGGCGGCCGCTGAATCTCTATTGGCAGAGAGTTCCACAGGACTGGGCCAATCACACTACAGTGGTACCTCTGGTTACGTACTTAATTCCTTCCGGAGGTCCGTTCTTAACCTGAAACTGTTCTTAACCTGAAGCACCACTTTAGCTAATGGGGCCTCCTGCTGCTGCCGCGCTGCTGGAGCACAATTTCTGTTCTCATCCTGAAGCAAAGTTCTTAACCTGAAGCACTATTTCTGGGTTAGCGGAGTCTGTAACCTGAGGCGTATGTAACCTGAAGCGTATGTAACCCGAGGTACCACTGTAAATGCTTGGGTTCTCATTGTCGTCAAACGAGCCTCACCAACTCAGGGAACGACCAGCAGCACTCATTCAGATGGTCTCAGTGATCCAACTGGGCTATAAGGGTTCAGGAGATCTCTGAGATGGTGGTGATCATCATCATCATCATCTATTATTTATACCCCGACCTTCTGGCTGAGTTTCCACAGCCACTCTGGACAGCGTCCAAGAAAAGATTAAAAATACATTAAAACATCAGTTATTAAAAACTTCCCTAAACAGGGCTGCCTTCAGATGTCTTCTAAACGTCAGGTAGTTGTTTATTTCTTTGACATCTGATGGAAAGCCATTCCACAGGGCGGGTGCCACCACCGAGAAGGCCGAGAAGGTATCCTGAGACTAAGTTGTTTGTAAATTAATACAGAAACCTTGAACCCAGATCAGTAGTAGATGTATTGCCAGAGCAGCTGTTTTCATCATGGTGTCACATGTTCTCAACCTTACCCAACCTGTTGCCTTAATAATAATAATAATAATAATAATAATTAATAATAATAATAATTTATTTATACCCCGCCCTCCCTGGCTGGAGCTGGGCTCAGGGTGGCTAACATCATAAAAGTAACACAGTACAGTGGTGCCCCGCAAGACGAATGCCTCGCAAGACAAAAAAACTCGCTAGACGAAAGAATTTTCCGTTTTTTGAGTCGTTTCGCAAGACGAATTTCCCTATGGGC